TCTACATGGACAAAATCCGGCTACAGAGATACTATACATATCCGCCAAGGAATTTTCCAGGGATAACTCATTAAGCTTTTATTCTGCTTACCCGTCCTATATACTAAATTGACATATAATTATTGGCATCGCTCTTAAAAAAAGGGAACTCAACTCTTCCGCGTGTCTCGCATCTTCTTTACATGAATGCCTGAAGCTCTTGCAGACACTGGTCATATGCGGAAACTAATAAGCGTGATGAGAATTCACCTGACGGACATCAAGATGAAATTCGGTTTTTGGTTTAAGTTGCCAGGACAGTGAATATCATTCGGGGTTCCATCAATGCAAGTTTATAAAATTGGAAACTTGATAATGAACCAAAAGATTGAACTTCATGGAACCCCCATGAACTTACAAATACTTGGGTTTCCAAAGTCCAACTCCGAAATCAAACACACTGTATTACTAAAGAACATACTAACAACTGAGTGTGTAAAACGATTGCCATGGACTCTTAAAAAACTCAACTCTCTGCTAGAACCTTGTGCAGGCCTCCAACTTCATTGTTATTCCAGTGCTGAACATACTCCTTTGGCGCGTTATTAAATGGAGCAATACGATCTCGGACAACTCCAGAGGACAATTCGAACCTCTAACTCAACACCAAAAACATCATCCCCATTCAAGTACTGAGCGTTTTACCTTCCAAGGGTCGCAAGGAGGGCGGGAAAGCCTCAGTCTTGTATGTGTCTGTAATGTTTGTCTCGTCCATTCATCATTCTTTATATTATCATTCCTTATCCCATCTCTCCAGGACTAGCAACCGCCTGGAGGTTACAATTGGATTAAGCATAAGAAGTGCTGTAGCAGCTACGGTTGTTGTGTCTTGTTTTGAAATGTGTAAATACTTACAAACATTAACCTTGCATACTAATTTAGACTTGAAAATGAAATAGACGTATATATGTTGCCTTCAATCATAGTCAAATCAATTGATCATTTTCATGTTCTACGGAAAACAGTGTCTCAATTGTAGTATGAAGGTTTGACAATAGTTTTTTGGTTGAAACAGTGCCGGATTACCGCATAAGCAGACTATGCAATTGGCTTATGGCTCAGTCAAATTGGGGCACCTTCAAAAGAACAAGAATTAATGATGTGTGTTACATCTTAAAAGAATAGCAATATTATCTAACTAATTAAATTTGAAAATATTATTATTATTATTATTATTATTATTATTATTATTATTATTATTATTATTATTATTATTATTATTAGTTCATGGCTTTATGGTACATGATTTTAGGAGTCACACAGATATATCTATCAAAGAATGATTTCCGTAGTGCAATACATGTAACGAACATACATTATTCTTATAACTAATTAGAAGGTAAACAATTCTACAAATATAAATTTAAACAAATAAATTAATTTAAAAGTTGAACAGTTAATAATTTTAACACATGAATTTCTTTAGGAACCCAAAAATCTTCTGACTAAAGAGCACTTGCTCAGGATCACAGCTTTCTGTAGATTGATGATAATGTTCGTCTCGATCCCCACTTTATTCAGAGTGTACTTCAGGACGGTAGGTAGCACACCTGTTACGAGAGAACACACAATCTCCACGTCCAAGACATGCCACTGCACCTTTACAACTGTGTGTTAGTTCTCTGTACTTTTGAATTCTGTTTTTGTGTGTTGTGTCGAGGTTGCTGGTAACTACAACTGCTATGCCTATCAGCCATACTTTTCTTTTAGATGTATCCCAGAGTATCACATACATCCTATTATGATGAACTGTTTTGTCGGGTCAATACTCTTCGATCCCAGTATAGCTTATAGATGTTGTTCTTGATGACATCTTGTGGATGGTACTTGTAAATAGGATGTATCAAATTCACCAGCAATTTCACATTTCCTTGCAAGTTTGGCGTAGACGATTTGTGCTACTATATCGTGCCTCTGTTTATAATCCGTTGGGTACAGCATACTGCAACCCGCAGTGATGTGCCGGATCGTTTCTTGACCTACAGCACAAGCCCGTGAGGTATCAGAAGCTACTTCGAAGTCTTTAATAATGTGCTTGAAATAATTTCTTGTCGCAATTAGGTGGTCCTGGATTGCTATCAAGAATCTCAGGGTACAAATCTCCTATTTTAAGCCACGTGAACGACTAGCAGGCGTCGAGATTTGAACATTTGGCTATTTCTGTATAATATCTACCATGAAGTGCCTTTTGTTTTCATTGTTCTAACTCCTCAGCTTGATTTGATTGTTTGTTTAGTACATTTTGCTGTTTAAGATTGAGGGGTGTATAGTTCTAATCTACCTGCTGTATTACTCTGTGTAGCTGAGACGACAAGGCTTTTTCACTGAAATTCTCTCTCATGTCCATCGTCAGTTTTGCATGTAGATTACCAATCTTTAAGATACTCCTACTCCCTTGTTTTTTTGGTAGAGTTATTTTTGGATAGAACTTTTTGGATAGTGGTATTTGAACCAAGTCATTTGAACCTTGATAATCCTCTCCAGCGAGTCCAAATCGGTTGTGGTCCATTTTAAAATGCCTAATGATTAAGTAATCGCCGGTATGGCAAATGTATTAATTGCTGTAGTAATATTACGAGAGTTGATGGAGGGTTTAGGTGTGGTATTCAAAATGTCGGTGAACTCTTAATTTCTCTTTTATCTGTGTATGATTATTGTATTTTGTTGAACTCCCATATACTAGTAAAAGCCATCCCTTCGGAATGCCGTGATGTTCTCTCTTGATGCAGTCTCGTGTTCTGTGCTGTCTGTGAGCTTTCCCCTTTGAATTCTTTGTATTTTACATTTTTATATGCTAAACTGCATGCCTAAATCACTAGTGATATTTCAGTGATATTTATTAGCGTGTTCAAATCCTGTAATGTGCCAGAGAATAGTAGTATGTCATCCTTGTATGCCAAGTGGGTGACAATTCACTTCTCTTGGCCTTTCAGTTAAAATCCAAATCCAGTGTTGTCCAATAAATATGACAGTGGGTCTATGACCAGGCAGAACCAAAACGAACAGGCTCTCTCCTTGAAATATTCCTCGCATAATCTTCAAATTCTTTGTGACTACTCTCTCGTTTCCTAAATTCATGTGTATTCTCGTGCACCAGTGGTTCATTACAGTCTTGAGGAATTCCACAATCTCAGGGTATATACCGTATATTCTAACGACATGGATGAGCCAATCATGAGGGACCATGTCGAATGCCTTTTTGTAATCCATGAAACACGTATACATGTTACGCTTTTTTCGACACGCCTGAGACATGATAACACTGTCTTTTACTACTCTACTTCCCAATGAGCCCTTGCAGCTTCATTTTTGGATCTTCGAATGTCATTTTGAGTACAATGCTGTGTAGACCGCCAGTCATGATCTTGTATAATGCATTGAGGCAAGTGATTGGTCAATAATTTCCTGGATGTGTATTGTCATTTGCTTTTGGTTTTAAGTATGTAACTTCCTCACTCTAGATGTCTGGAGTTTCTTCCGAATTTTTCAGGTAATGATTCACGAGTGCGAAGATTTTTTCATGGAGACTTGTGGATCTCTCGGACCAGATGTAATGAAGCCCATCAGGGCCAGGCATTACCAATTATCCAGCTTACGAATATTAATCTTTGGATGTATAGGCTAAGTTTTTGTTTCAGAGTATCAATATATTCTATGATATACTCATTTTCAGGATTGTACGCTGCGTGTTTGCGATGCATTCTCATGATCTTTTATGCTTTTCTCTTCATCTTTTAGCTTTTATTTCCCTTCAGATAGGCTTCCAGAACTGCTATATCTGATCTGAACAGCGTTATTCTCTCCGCCAGCCTTATCTTCCAGGGTGATTCATGCAGTTGTCGGTGCGCTTGTTGTTTTTAACTTTCAGAAATTTTCCCACCATTCGCCCTTACGATTGCCATTGTCATGCAATAAATGGTTGAATCAAGTTGGTTGTGTGTGATATTTTGTATTTGTTCCATTTCAGTAGGAAGTATATTCTCATTTGCCAGTTTGTTCCAACTGTGTTGTCTTTGCATTCTTGGTCTGGTTTGATACGCAAATCCCCACTATTCTGCTTTTGTTGTATTATATTGCCGACGGAGTTGTTCAAGCAGTGTATTTTCAATAGAATCTTCAGAGTGTTGGTGCTCATTTCGGGAAGCATCTACTTGATCGATTATCGTGTCCGGTTGAGCTACTTGAAGCATTAATTCTGTAAAGTACTCTATTGTTTCTTGCCGTCCTTCATTCTCATCTGTCTGGACTTCGGCTTTAATTTACTCTCTCCTGATTCGAGAGTCGCAGTTTTAGAATTGTAAATTAACACTATTCGGTGTGCTACATTCTGTTCTGTGATGCGAGTTAAGTGAGGGTAAAGTTCCATAAAACATTTATATAATTCCTGCCGGTAACCTAAATAGACAGTTTTGCAACGGGTAGTGCGCGTAATATCCTTACAATATTTTCATTCATATCAGTTGTCCATTGTAACCTCCGTCGTGGCAGGCCTGCCTGAGTGGTCCCGAGTGATGTCCGGGAAACACTGTTGGCAGGTGCAGCTGATTGTTTTTGGGTACTGCGATTGTCGGCTTTGTAGTTTCGGATGTCCCGGAGTACGCCCGCCTGTTCAGCGTCCCACCACTAGCGGCTTGCATGCTGTCACGACCAGCGCCAGCTCCAGCCGCGCCCTGGCCATCCCCGGCAGCGGTTCATTTCCCGAGGCCTTAAGACTGTTATATCGACTCTCCATATAGTTGCCTGATATAGGTTGCCATTGCCCTGTTAGTCGTTACTAACGTTGTCCGTCCCCCATGTGGCATAGATGTTCTTCGCTCGGACATATAGCTGGACTTCGGGGGACCAGAAATGTGGGACGCTTCACGATTTTGCGCGTCATCCTAGCGCAGGGGCCATGCTAATCTCTGTATCGCGCAGTTATTCTTGTTGTTGTTACTATTATTGTGTGCGCGTGGTTACAGGGGCTTTCCGAAGAGCGCGCAGCCGCAGGCGCAGGCGGCGGCGCGCCACGCCCCCGTGGAGCGCGCGGCTGCGCAGACGGACGCCGAGCTGCAGGTCGAGGCGTTGCGCCTGCACAACGAACTGCGCACCAAGCACGGCGTGGCGCCCCTCACTCTGGACCCCGAGGTACCACACTGCGCGGCGCAGGGACAGCCCTGCCAACCTCTTCCTCCCACGCCTTGTGCAAAGTGCGGATAGAAAAGGCTACGCATTGCTTTTAACAAAATAGGTTTTGATAAGAAAATGTGTCTAGAAAGCGCGATTTTCTCATTCATCAGCAAACAATACTAACCACTAGACTGTCGCGGACACCTCGCGTCCTTGACACATGTGCCTAGGACGCGGCGTCTTCCGGACGTGGAAGCCTAAGCTCTCGAAACTAACTACTATGCGTATGTTACAAAATTCGTACAGAATGTGCATTTCATTAAATGTCGAAATACAGATAATTTCATACAAATATTTTCCTATTGACGATATTTTGGGATTTATACTAAAATATTTTCTAACATTTCTCATGCATTTACTCCAAGTTTTATATTTTACTTTTCATAAACAGTGAAACCTGACTTCAACGGTCACGGTTCCGCCAAAACTTGACTGGTAATACTGGAAGCCGCTTAATATAGGGTATGAGGTTACTGGTAACGTAAATCAAGTCTAATTGTGCAAATTGCTATAAAATTATGTGCGTTCTAGGTTTTAAATTACTATAAATGTGAAAATGCAATTTAAACATGGTATTAGGATTAGTTACCTCCTCTTGACCGTGACTTGCCACTCTTCCTATTAGTCGAGAAACTCATTCCGTCGTACCCGAATCAATTAAGCTAACTAGACTAGAAGATGAAATTTACATTCTGCAGAAATTTTACAGCAGGCTCTTTTGAAAAAGGAGTCACCGAATGACCTGCATGAAACACGTGGCGTGTTCCGTGAATCTTTAACAGATTTCCATTGCAGGGAAGCACGAGTTAGCAAACCAAAGGAGTGATGTGAAATAATACAAACAACATGCTGTTTCATTAATAGGAGTTTGTAAACATATGTGATGTTACCTGGAACAGAATGTAATCTCCCTGCGTGGAGCGACTTTGGATGTCATTATTCGAAATAAGAACGACATTTTCTCGAAAACAGCTCCACATTTTTCAATGAAAATTTGCATTTAGCATCAGACATTACTCTTTCATAATATCGTTAATTTCTTACTTCAATTTTACTATTATAGGTCTGAAAAATTGAGAAAATCTGGAAAAAATGCCTTTTAGAAGCCAATAGATGGCAGATGCGAAGAGTGTGGGACAAAACCGAAAAGCTAGTCTATTCGTAAGAGAATAGGAAACTAACTAAAACGCGAAAGTGGGCCATTCTATAGTACCTCTAGTTCATTCATGTAAACATTGCACAAATGCCCTCAGAATAGCAAAACACTGTTTGTATTAGGATCATTTTCATTTTCAAAAGTTGCAGCATTTTTTAGCTGAATTATCGTGAAACTACAATCATTAATGTAAAATCAATGAATTAAATCAATGAATTTGATAAAATATAAATTTCAAATTAAGACTTAAGAGGCCATTAAAAATAATTTCACTACAATGTGTTTCTTCTACTCCCCCTTGTTAAGACCAATAACACTTACTCGAAAAACCCTTCCCGAGATGAACATTGAATTTCGACCCCCCCCTCCTCAATTAAACCCAAAACAATAGTGTATGTGTTCACGGCCAGCGACGCGATACTTCACTTGCGGAGAGTCGCATTGACCCATTGCGGACATTCGCAGTGCTTCTGCGCATGTTTCTACCCTGCATAAACGTTTGCTGTGACGGACAAGCGGAAACAGCCGTTTTGAAAAAAAACTTTTTATTCAGGGATCCCCCTGACGTGTATTACCGAAAAGATCTTGACCTCGCTTTATTGTTGTGTTACATTACTTTTTCTATGCTACGACTATACTAGTTTCTATATAATAAAGTACAATTGGGTGTTTTCTATATTTTAATGTAATACTTGAAATTTAAATATCGTATTAATTTATTAATACTTAAAAATTCATAATATAGTAATTGCAGTGTGACAGAAAAGTCTCTACGCAGTAGGATCTACGTCCTGGTGACAGTGCTGGCAACAGAAATTATGTTGGTAGCAAGAGATGCAGCTTGTAATAGTAGAAAACTCTACTCTACTACTACCTCGCTCTTTGTACTAGAAAAGAGAACGTTTATTTTTCATCCAGACCCACGTTCATTCACTTTTTTTGTCAGTTACGTCCCCTAAAAGCGAAACATTTTTTCACACTGCCTTAGAATATTTCTTGAAATAGCAATGTCATTTAGTACACTTAAATACAGTAGTGACATAAAACGCTTTAAAATATTTGTTTGGAAAGCAGCTTCAAGTCAGTAAATGTTTGCTACACTCAGACATTGCACTCCAACTGCACTCTCATTGCAATTCCATAATTTTCTTTCCAATTAAAGTTTCGACGTTCTTAAGTAATCAGAATAATAAAAATAGTGCGAAAAATAGTCAAATTTACGTATAAACTTAATTTTTTCATCACAATTTTCAAATTTCTAACTTGATAAAAAATCTGTTCAATATGTTATGTTCATACATATTCATAAATGTGGGTTCATACGTGATTTAAAGAATTAAGTAAGATAAAAATTGCGTGAAAATATTTAAGTTCTAATTTATTTTCTTGTGGAATGCTGTTTCGAAGATTTTAGGAAGAGAACAGCGGTTACACTGATTAAAGCGCGTGATCAGTTTCAATGATATATATTCTGGAGTCTATTTCATAGAATTATTGTACTTTATATAAAATTATTAAGTTATAATATTTGTCATTCACTATTTTCCGTTAAAAGGCTAATTATATTTTTAAAAAACGAAAAAGTATATACAGCACCATTAACGTTTTAAACGTTTTAGAAAGCTAATTTAATAGAATCCATTGTGAAGGAATTCCTTGGCTTTTCCATGGAATACATTTTCTTTGAATACGAAGACAATTTGCCGCCGAATGCGACTAATATCGCTGACTTTCAGCTCTGCAGCTACGCTGCTGAATGGGCGGCTGTGCTGGCCCGAGAGAATCGATTCGCTCACCGTCCGGAGAGCACGTACGGAGAAAACATCTACTGCCACTGGTCCTCCGACGTCGAAGCAGCGTCCGAAATAGGAGCGAAGGACGCTATACAAGCGTGGTACAATGAAATGAAGGACTTCGAGTTTGGAAGCGAACCACGCTCCCTAAAATCAGGTAAGGGCTATCAAAGCGGGCACCTTTGACACACAAATTTTGTTATTATCAAATTTGATATTTACCTTTGCTGAAGATAATTTTCAAGGATTTGGAACGACTCATGCGAACCAATATTTTCTCGTACATGAATGTCTCAGTTACGTGTATTTACTTATATAAATACGTACAAGTTATAGGGAGAGTTACGTTTACTGACAAGAGCCAGAATAACAGGCGTTTCAGCATTTTCTTTTGGGTCTCCAGAGTTCGAGAGAGGTAGAAAGAAAAGGCCTAGATTGAACAAAACTTTTGTGCTATTTATTTTATGTATATATATATATATATATATATATATATATATATATATGAAACAATTTATAAAACCATTAAAAAGTGAAACATTATAAAACTAAGGATGAAACCAACTCATTAGCACTAAGGCCTTGTTACTTACTTTCACTCCAATTGTTTTAGCATTTCTCGGGAGAATAATGTAATTCGAAATACGAATAGACTTCAACAAAATAGCTTTCAACATACCTACTAAAACCTTCGCCATAATTTGTGTCGGATTATAAAATGTTAACTTATTCAGTAAATAATTTTAGAATACATTTATAAAACATATAGCTTGCATTTATTTAAAGAATATCTTACAACCACATAGACTTAAGGTCATTAAAACAGTTTTTTTGGCCTTTAACTGAAAACAACAAAGCTTCTAACTAAGCAAAACGGAAAACGTTCGTGATCTGATCGCATTCTGCATTTCTCACTACGTCTTTCGCCCTAAATATACATCGTTTGTGCGAATATTTCTGAAGGAAACAATAAAGATCCCTCTTCTTTTCTTTCGTAGGCGGCACCAGAATATGCTAAATAACTTCTTTAGGCCATACGTCGGCCTGTGTTCGATGTTAACTTCAATTGTGTCGCTTGATAAATGACGATGAACCCGGACATATCTATTTATAAATGCTAGTTTCTAACGTTGTTACTTTGCATCGTTAAGACGTCACAACATTATAAAATGTGTTGTCTGGCATATTCTGGTGCCGCCTTATGCCTTAGCCTTAGGCCTATGACCTTAGGCCTATGTGGTTGTAAGATATTATTGAAATACATACAAGCTATATGATTTATAAATGTATTCTAAAATTATTTACTGAAAAATTTAACATTTTATAATCCAACATTCAAATATAACATTCAAATACAACATCTCGGATCGAAGGATCGCTCGTTCGAATCCCGCCTCGGACATGGATGTATTTGCGATCATTCATCATCATCATCATCATCATAATCATCATCGTATCACTTCATTAAAAAAGTATTAATAATTATCTGCTCAAGCAGGAGGCCCTTTCCTTTAATGGGATGTGCAGTTGAACTAATAAACAAATTGTATGCGAGAATGATAACGGGGATGTGATGTTGAGGGCGATTGTGAGTTATCACCTTTTAGGGCATTTTTGCGCAAGTTCCTTTGACCTGCTGAGGAAACGCAGAGAGGATCCTTGCTTGCATTCATTTTAAGTATTTACAGACAACAGTAAAACTGGTGGAGTCTGAATCATCGCTAACATGGTTTTAATTGACATATTGTGTGTGATATGCAATAATGGTATTTTAGTAATAGCAAAGGTTAATGTGTTACAGAAAGCCAAATAGCATCTAACGTTACCAAAGCTGCAAAATTTGTTTTAATGCGAAATTAATTAAGAAATACATGTTGTGAGTGCTGTGTGACAGTTTCGGCAGTCTTTTATTCTTTCCAGTTTTTTGGTGGACGCTTTGATAGTAGAGGTGACAGGCTTGTGGCTGAGACCTTCTGTGTGTGCGCAGGCCACTTCACGCAGGTGATCTGGAAGGGGTCGCGCAAGCTGGGCATCGGGCGCGCGCGCGACGGCGGCCGAGTGCTCATCGTCGCCAACTACGACCCTCGCGGCAACTTCATCGGCCAGTTCTCCGCCAACGTGCCGCCGCCCAAGAGGCCCTGAGGGCGTGCACCCTCGCGGGCCCCGGGGCGGCCGCTCTCTCGGCGCTCGCGCCGGCGTGAACCCGCTAGTTGAGGCGGCTCTTCACTTTCGACCACTGCCCGCCCGACCCCCAGCGGAAAAGGTGCGCGGCGATTGTTCGCTTTCTTTGAGGTGTCGTTCAACCTATCTGCTCTACTCGGGAGTGGGCGAGCGGTCGCTCGTTATTCGCCGAATGCATGGAGTCGCCTTTAAGAAGGCTCCACACTTGCGGCATTCAGCAACCGTTCGCAGAATCCCGAATAGTGTGGACGGGTTGCTTGCGATTCGCCGAGTAGCGAGCATTCGGTATTCGCCCAACCCACCGCGTGTCAGTCTTTAGGACACATCAAAGGGAGCGAACATTTGCTGAACACATCAGCTGCTCGGCATTGGGCGAGCAGTAGCTGCTCGACGAATGCCGAATGTTTGGAGCAGCCTTTAGACACAGCTATCAGCTCCGATGGCAATTCGAACGGCAAACCGGCAAACTACCCGCGAGCGTCTTATGTATGCCAATACTTTTAGGGCGCAGTGGACACTCCGCTACGCGTGTCCAAGCTTCCGCCTTCATCCTACACGATTAACATGAAGCCTCCTTGAGTCTGACCAATGCATACTTTCCAACTCAATTCACACCAAAGTACCTTTTTACCGGATTTTTTAAGGAAATAAGAAGAAAAACAGAAAATGAATTCAAATACTTTATTTACCAATATCAAAAGAAAATATTAAAATTCTTCAAGCCAATGAAACTATGAAACAATTATCTGAACAAAAAATGACTAATCTGCGTAATTTACAATGCATTTGTTTTTGCAAAACTGCAATACAAAGTTGTTTCAATTGAAATATAATCTTCAAAGTTTGGAACTAACATGCGGACGTACTAAGAGCCAACGAATGGCTACTGCGCCTCTCCCCCGAAATGGTATGAAACCTCAAGTGCTTGGCAGGCTCTTCTTCCTTAGTTAACCGGTTTATCGTCATTGCTGCCATTCGAGCATATGGCTACCTCTAACGGCTAGTCATGTCCCCTTCCAACCCGCCCCACACGCTCCCCTCCCGTCACCGCTCAGGCTCCTCGCAGTGTTGGGCGCTGCTTTTTCTACGCTCTTCCTATTCCTTCTTCATGTACAGACGTCCTCCTTCAATTTCCTGCATTCTTTTTTAAGCTCATTACTCCCAATATTAAAATAAACTATACATAATAGTTCTTACATTCTTTTGTAGTGGTGAACGAATGAGCTGCCTCTTAAAAGTTCCTATGTGGACAAGAATTCAATACAAATTATTTTATTTATTTGTGTTGATATTCTGCTTTTTTTATTTGATACCAAAATTATAATTGGTAATTCGCATTTCAATGCTATAAAGCAATAAAATACATTCCAAGATTTATCAGTAAATCTCAATTTTTTTCATTCCCAAATTACAAGGAATTTTCCCATAAACAATTTCATAATTCATAGGGCTTCCAGCTTAACTTTCAGTGGCTTTGCTCATGCACCTTTGCTACTTGATGACACGGCAGTTTACTAAACAAATTAAATTGGATTTTAAATGTGGCACACTAGTGCATGGGAAATAGTATTATTTGATGAGATATTCTCTGTAGTCTGGGATGCAATTTTGTGAAATGTCAAAATAGCACATTTCAAAGAAACTAACATTGTTCAGACGCAATGAAAGACTGGAGTAAAGGATTGAAACAAAGATGTTGTAAAGGTACGTGAATATGTTGGTATTGTACATCGAGAATTGAATACTGAGACAGGGTAAGACTGTTTTTAGAAAATACAAATTTGCCTTAAAGGATACAATCAGGTTGATAAAAAATGAGTAGAGAATTAGTTTAGGTAAGTGACGGAAAACGCATGACTGCTTGGTCGCAAGGACTGTTTGCTCAAGACTGGAGAAGTTTGCAAAGGATACTATTTATGTATATACATAAATAGTACCTAGTATCTAATAGTAAATAGTTGGAAATTTTGCAATTTGTGAATGACTTATTTTCTGACGAAGAAACTAAAAGTTACAAAATATTTACTGATATGGATAAATGGTTTACAAGCCAGATGAGAGCAATCCGGTAAACTATGTGGCTTGAAATATAAACTACTGTGTTTGATATTTAGAGAATACTGCTAGAGACTATAAGACATTTTAGCTACCAAAGAATGGAAACCAATGGACTCACAATATTTTTCATTTGACTTACTGTAAAGTCTCATGAATTTGCAATGAAGTTTAATTCAATTAGAAGCATTTTAATATTATAAATATAAAGCATTCTTGTTGTCGAACAGTAAAATATATTTTGTGTAATTATTTCATAATTGTTATATATGTCTTTAAGTATTAATTTTTATTTTTCAATTTTTGCCAGCCATGGAAGTTTTTCCTGAGAAACCTTAATGTAAAATAAAATATGACTGACGTTCTATAAGCGCAAAAAGTGCATCGTTTGTATTGAAGAAAGGCACAATGTAATATACCCACAATTTAGAATGTAGTTGAGAGGAATATTCCTTACTTACAGGAGGTTGGTATTTACCCATCACTCAATATTTATAATAATGCACTTTTTGAAACTCCTGTATTTGAAATTGCAAACAGAGTATGTATACGTTGGGTCCTACAATATATTATTATATATTGTTATTATGTAATGATTTTTTATTAAAAGAGTGCAAAATATTGTTATTTTCCTTCCTTTTACTTGGTCCTCTGATGGTATCGCCTATATAGGGTCTGTCCACATTCAGCACGATTGCAAGTATCTGACAGTTTTAGAAAATTCGGCAGGAATTCAGAAAAATCCAACTGCGATTCAGGAAACATTGGGGTATTTCGTGGAGTTCAGGCGCAATTATTGCTCGAGTTCTAATATGTCCACAAGATTGCGCCAGCGAGCAAGTAATTGAATCCATACGCGGAAAGCAACATGGCTACCTGCGGGTAAAAGACACGCTGGTTTGCAAAGTACTCGACGAGTTACTGAAGAATTCTCAGACATCAGACGATTCTTTATACGCTTTTGAATGAAGATTAAGAGCAAAAATAGTTAATGGACGTATTTTTAGAACATTATTGTAGACACTGGCGGCTTATGTGGCTGGAGCGGTCGAGTTTCGCTACAATAAAAAATGTTTTAGTTAAAGAGTTTTAGTTAAGTATAATACTAAATGTATAATAATATTTGAGTAATTCATAATTACTCGTGGGAGTCACAATTACAACGCAATATTTTTGCATTAACTGCAAATCATATACGAGAGAATGATCCCCGCGTGTACTGCGAACCGCGTGGTTTACCCCTGATCTGGGATTCAGAATGCTAAAGCCGTCGACGAGTGGAGGGACGTAATGAATTCCGGGGATATTTCGAGCGGAACACCTCTGAAAAACTACTCCTATTAAATGTCCACCTACACGAACGGTTTTTCGTAGAACGGACACTTAGTGTAATCCATATATTGCATGCACATTAATAGACCACCCCTCTCCTAGACCAGCATCCAGCCCGTTAATAATTCTCTTAATTTACTCCTTTTAAGAGACCATATTCAGAAATATGTAAGAATGCAGTAAACCTAGTTTTCAGTACGGAGAAATTGTAAACAGCATTCTCATGACATGCCCAGTGCCTCAGCTTCATTCTCCAGGGAATCGGATGGCGGGTAGATTCCACGAATCAAGTATCAACAAACCTTTGCCACTGGCATGGTATCACGTACAACCAGAAGGCAATCAGTTCCGATCGCTCTTGGTGACGAGACCAGCACGCCGGTACTGTTATGCCCGAGAATACCAGTTCCGGATCTGCTTTTATCGATAATGACAGATACCAATACTAGGACTGTTATGGGGGCCGAAATGCAACGGTGGGTAGCGAATACCGTAGCCGTCACCGCATCTCTGGACTCCGCTTATTACTCAAGTGTTTCTATTAAATACCTCAAACGCTTCATTTATTACACTTTCACTGGAGGGGTAACTGAACACTGAGAACAAAATAGTATGACACGCTCTTTACGACAAAACCTGAATAAGAATTCTATCGCAAAAATGAAGCTTCAGTCCTATTTTATAACATTTCCATACACAATAGTTGTTACAAACGGAAACTTTTCAGTAACATACAATACACTTTTCAGTAACATACATTACACTTATTATGCGTGTGGTAATTAATAGGCGTTATTATGCCTGCATTTCCATTAACAATGAAAACTTAAAGCACATTTATATTGTAATTTCATTTCAACTTTTTCATCTAGTTTTCGTCAGAAAAATTCGTATTGCAGGTCCCTAATACCGAAAAAGTGGATCAATCGCCTAACATTATCTTACGCACTTAGGTTCGAATCTCATCCGCGGTGAATAATTTTTGCGGGTTGTTAATTATAGTTATAATACTTCGTAATGTTAATAAATATCACAGAAAGTATTATTTTCGTCGCGCCACTACTTCAGTGTGCTAATGTCTTCAAGAATCAAGTTTAATTTTTCTGCCATTGCGATTCTGGATTTCAGACTTCCTCTATCTAAGGTAGCTTCAGCCTTCAAGGTAGCTGCACAACCAATGTACCTAATAATTACGCGTTTTTATTTCTCTGCTTTCTTATCGCGAATTTGATATCTGTGACACGTGGAGTACATTCTCTAATAAAAATCTAACCGCAATAAATATCATATTAATGTTCTGTTTGTAATACGTTCTCCTGGCCACAGCGATGGCAAAAGTTTGCATTTGCGTAGTGTGATCAGCCAGTATTACAGATTATGACGCCAGTTCAAATCCTAACAACGCCGGCTAAATTTTACCTACACGTATACTACGCAATGAGAGAGTTTTGTAATGCTGCAGGAGAAAATGTCGAAATTTCCATAGAAAACAAGATTTGTATTTCTCTCATTTAAAAAAAGTGGATTGTTTCCGGCTAGTATATTATTTTCTATACATAAGGTTGTCAAATGCTAATGTTTTGAGTGTTATTTAACATTAAAAAGCGAATTTTAAAACACCTCTCTTTATCACTTCTTTAACGTATGAGTTATTCAAGTGTAAACAGGATTTTCTGTAAAATGGATATTCAACGAACTATCTTTTCCTGGAATAGAGCAATAGACGTAAGTTCAAATTTCAGCGACCGATCTGATTTGTTGAAATAATGAAACAAAAAATTACATTGTCAAAATACAATATTGACGATACACATTTTTTCACAATGAAATCAGTTTTTAAAACTAGATCTTGAATAAATGTAATTGAAACACTATAATTGTTTTAAAAAGGCAAATGCAATTTTTCGACACTTTCTTCTGATGTCGGGAAGGAAAGAAATCAAGCGTGTAACTGATGACTTAGAGGAAAGGTGTCAGCCGTGATCAGTCTGAGGAACCGAGATCGAATTCTAGCATTAAAAAATTCTTCTTTGTAAATTTAAGTTTTTGCGTAGCTCTTACAAATAAGGTGTGAAAGTACATGGTGTTGAAGCAGCACTAGTATTATACATTGCGCACTGTGGAAATAGTATAGTAAGAGAAACTTTATTTAAATATGTATATTGAAAATATTCACTTTGTATCAAGTTAAAATTTTCCGAAATTCAGAGACATATAGTAATAAGAGTTATTCTGATCCATGATTCATTAATACCAAAAATAATAATTTCTGTAATACAACTAATATTTGAAAAAAAACATGGTATACGTATTACCAAAATAAGTACTATCATATGCCATCTTTCACAGGAGGCAGAGTCAAAATCGAAATATAGTTCGCTTGAATTGTGAAAATTTGCGTCTAACGTTTTACGATATTCAAATGGTAAAATTATAATACAATATTTAATTGGTTATCAATTTATGCTTAAAAGTCTCGTTTGATAATTCTCGAATTTCGAATTGTAATAAGTGGTGCAAATTTTCACGTCGCAAAAATTCGCCAAAAATGATCAATAAAATGCTCGTTAAATGCTTTAAAAATGACCTAAAAGCAAAGAAAAATGACAAAACAAATGTGATCAAAAACATCTCAAGGAGTTGGATTTGATAATGATGTAATCGAGGCTGCTTCCATTGTTCAAGTGAACTCAGCTCGCAAACTTTTGGTTTGGACTGTAATGGACTACCTGGAAATATCTTTCTTAGGTTAACCCGAAATTGACCGAAACGACCATGGCGCTGCCTGGGGTTACGGTATCCTTAGATAACAGACAATTTCTGAGCGATCAAGTCAAATAGGCTACTCAGGAATTCTATGGTGAACACTTGTATCCCGTAAATATTATTTGAAGCAAGTACCATTAAAAAATGTATTAAAAGCAATGAACTCTGCTAAAAATGCATTGAAAACGACGGATAAAGATAAAAATTGACTCTTTAGTCGAAATGCACGGAAAATGCAAGAACAGAAAAAGACCTATAAAATGGATCATTTCCTTTTGTCCTAACATAAAATAAAAGTCCATACTAAGCAGCATTGTTCTAAAGTGAAAAGAAAAAAATGACCTTTCATTAAAATCCGACCCCTCGTAATAAGATATTCTACAATACTCATGTCGTTAATAACGATTTGACAACCATTGATTTTAGTCTGTGTATAGCAGGAATCATATGGTAATATTGAGATAAACAGAATCTTAAACATGATTTTGGTAATTTGAGTTGTGGCACAATGAGTAGATTATTTCGGAAAAGAGTTTTTGGAGGTGTCTTGCCTTGGATTCAGAAACTGCTGAGAGGAAGGCGTATGCAGGGTCTAATGCTTTTTCAGACAGAGTAACACGTTGAGTCTTCTGGTAAAGTACCCTCAAAAATTAAATATCCGTTTGAAATTCCCAAAGCCTCGAGTTCGTTCAGATGAAAGGACGAATGTCTATCTTGTAGAAATGGGCTGTATGGTTTACGCGATAGCGTTTACCACGTTAGGACAGGCAAACGCTTTGCGGTCAATAGATTTTTCGGTAACAAACGCCCACAAAACATGGATTCTGGCTACAATACGATATTAGAGGAAGTAATTTACTATGTATGGGAAGAGGATTCATCTATTTTTTCTTTACAAAAGCCCGACAATACGAG